ATTGTTAAAATCATGACCCTCGGGCGTAGGGCGGGGCCACAATGGGGAATCCAAGTTTTACATAGAAATATATATAGAACAAATCTTTTAAAAAGATCTGCATCACCCAAGTTACTCAGGTGAGCGATGTGGCCCATGGGCCTCTTGTGTTGGTTTAGCCACCACTTTCAATTTGCTTCTAACGCCCATTTAACTGAATGATTATTCAATTTACATGTATGTAAATCTGTAATGTACTTCTATATTCAAGTGATGTTTAGATTGTATATCTGCAAGTTAAAATGTCATCGGGACCCTGGCTTGGTCAATAAAATATTTCATAAAGGATCGGACCAACTCGTGAAAGGTTAGAACATAAGAAAAGCTTATGCCATTTTAGTACATTCTGATAGTCGAATTTAACGTCTGACACTGAATTGTGGTGCATCAAGCCTAGATATATATTACATAACCTATGCGTAAGCTAGTATTTTCTTTGGTATTTTTAGTGCAGTGCAAATTAAATTTAACTCCTTGACAATGAGAATAAAAAGCACGTTTTTTCATATTGAACAACACAAATCGAACTGAATGAATGAATGCATTGCAGTTACGCAACTTTGTTTCAGGCAGAATATGCCGAGCTCATTTTCGAAGAAGACGTCCCCTGCGCCCCCCCCCCCCCCCCTCATTTCCCAATGTAAAAAACTGTTCAAAAATTTTATTAATGTATGGTAAAATCACAATTATTGATACAATATGTGTACCAGTATAGTATTAATTTAATTTTCACACAAGCAAGTAGCATCACTGGAGGGGATAAAAAACACGTTTATTCTGATTTTAATTTCTAATTTTCTAGATTTTCTATATTTCAATATAATTTTCAATTAATATGAAATAAAGGGAAATCGTTTTTGAAAGAAGTGTGAAAAATTACGAAGCTTGAAGTTTCATCCCCAACCGCTCCCAAAATTTAATTCAGAGAAGTACCATAAAATATCTAGGTACTGCTTCAATTTGCTTTTTGGAAATGCGAGTTTGCCGATTATACCGAAAGAGAAATAACATTACTTTGACCAGGATCAATCCTTAAGACCTTACTACATGCCTGAACAGTGATGTTAGATATTCTTTTTACCCCATGCCACTGCGAGCAATCGTAGAAACTCGGTGAATTCCGTGAACACTACATGTAAATTATTTATCTTGAAAAATATGTTGTTACGAGGTAATTTCAGGATGGGAACTTTATTGTTTTTATCAATGGTCAGCGGTCTGTCCTAGCTGGTCAAGATCCTTTCAAATACAAATTTATTTCAATATGTACATGTACATTTAGATCACTGTAAAAGTACCTTTTCACGTGTGGTATTAACACTATATACGTACGCGGCCATAAATTCTCCAAGCGTACTTAATATAAATGTAAGGCATACAATGCCAGTCTAGAACATCCGCGTAATTTTCTTCCCGTGGATTAAACAGAAATTGAATGACCCCCTGGAAAAAGTAGGTCTACAGTGTATTTTTTCGAGAACTTTAAGTTACCACTAATTTACAATAAAAATGCTTTTAAAATACAAGTAGAAAAAATGATTTAAAACCAGTTCAAAAGGGTATTTCATTAATGACGTCCCAATTATCAACATGACGTTATGTGACGTTATTCAACGTTTTACGGCGTTATCTTGTTAAGATTAAAATTTTGCATTGTTTTAAATTGGAATTTTAATTAGAATTTCAAAGGTATATAATAAAAAGCTTGGTATCAAAATGTTCAGAAAAACTAGATCTTTCAGAAACGGCGAAAAACTGATTTTCGAAAATTTGGTCACGAAGGTCCCTTTTCGCTTGACGCAACTCATATATTCAAATTCTTCTTGATTACTTGGTATATCAATATTATGATCAACATCCATTTTTATGTTTTTTAGAGAGTAATTATCTGTTCAAAATTAAATCAGTGGGATAATGTTATTGCCGAAACAAATCAATTAGATTAGTTCAAATGAAAGGAAGTTAGTATCGCAAGCGAAAGTCGACGATTCAAGAGCAGTTACAGTCTTTCGGACATTTTACAGACGTAACATGTTATAAACCAAATGTCTCTGTCGAGACTGTAGCTCTACTTGTTTGTACTCATTGCAATATTTTATGTTATGTATCTTTGTGAAGTGTGAACTTGTGTGCCAATTTATTTTGAAATCAAACCAAAACTGTAGGAGTAGCGATTTCAAGGAATTTCACAGAAAATTCTATTTTTATTAACCACGGTAACACTGTTCATCGAAATCAAAAAATGATGCACTGTTCTATGTATCATAGTGTAGTACAAAGTTATACTGTCATCAGACCAAAACTGTAGAAGGAGTATCCTTCATAGAAAATTCTATTTTTAGTAACCATGGCAACACCGTTCATCGAAATCGAAAGCCGATGCACTATTATCTGTATCTTAGTATAGTCTACTTGTGTGCCAAGTTATATTGAAATCACACCAAAATTGTAGGAGGAGTAGCGTTGTGAAAAATTGTTTACAGACAGATAGACGGACGGACGGACGCCGGACGCATTGCTATCGCATAAGCTCTTCTGGTCTCTGACCAGTAGAGCTAAAAAGGACTTCCATCAAGCCACGAACCCAGAGTTCACTTAGATCCGACACTAATTCAGTGATTCGCCGGTGTGATAATAGGCCAAATAATATATAAATATTCTAAATAACTAATTATAATTAGTTATATAAGTCCGCCATCATCAGGAATCAACTTATCAATATGTAAATCAAATATTGTATATTTATTCTCTTTGATTTATTGTATACCAGTAAGTTTTTTAGGGGTAAGGGTTGAAGGATATCCCAATGTCATGCTATGTTTATTTATATTATAAACATGATTGAAAGTTGTTTGTAGAAATGTGCAGGACTGTTACAATAATTTAAAATATCATGAATGATCTGGTTTAATACATTGTAATTGACCAGTTAGTGATGTTTTAAAACATTCATTTTAGTTTGGAACTAGTTAGGAGATCTCCTAAATTTTAATGTTTTTTATAAGCTATGATTGGCTTGTTTTTGAATATTTCTTCAAGATCGGGTGCTCTTGGTCGAGTGTGCCAGTATTTCAGTAATTTCTCTCTTATGGATAAACTTTGTTGGTTCTCATTTCAGAAAAAAAGATTGCCAGTGACCTAAGGGGGTGTCATGGCCCTGAACCAAGGTCATTTGGGGATGTTCAAGGCCACTGGAAGAAACATTTCATAATTTGTGTCCGGTCCATATCTTTCTTACGGATAAACCTGGTAGGTTCTCATTTTACACGGACAGATAGGTTCTCAGATAGGTTCTCATTTTACACAAAGATAGCCCATGACCCAAGGTCATTTGGAAACTTCAAGGTCACTGAAAGAAAAATTTCATAATTCCTGTTTAATACATTTCTTTATAATGGAAAAACTTATTTCTGAAAAACCCAGCGGGGGTATTTTGTCCCGTTTGGACAGATCTAGTTTAAAAAACTGATGCTCCATTGACCATTTGTATTAAACAAGAAAGCAATGTTTTTTGATAATGCAATGTTCCGTCATAAATGTCCTCATAGACACCATCACCAACATACCTAAAGAAGCGCTATTGTAATGATTCATAAAATCCCTCTTGCGAAAATAGATAAGAAAGCTGATAAATCCCTGGTATATTCAAAAAGTAGTCACTTTCCTTTTTAACTGGTTCACGACAAAATTCATTAATATTTTCAATGAATCCAAAACATCGTTGACAATAATGGTGATAAACAAGAGGATTTCAGAGTTTCATTAAAAACTGTTTGTATGCATGTAGACTTAAGCAAAAAATGTTTTCTGAAGAAAGAACAAGTGAAATACTATTCAAAAGCTGTTGAATTCAATCCCCTGTTATGTTTTACTTTGTGAAAAACGCTGCAAGTAGTAACATAAATGTTCCACTTAAAATTGTTGCTCCAGGAAAAACTGGTTGGTGGTCTTGGTCATCAGAATTATTAAAGCCATCTCGTTCTGTTATGTCGTCAAAATCACACCTATCCTCGTCAGAAAGTTCATTGAGAATTTTACAATTGCCATTAATGGTTTTTCTCGGGGGCTTTAAATTTTGAATTCGAATGTTGCTATTGTGGCCGTCTCAATTTTCCAAGATACTCCGTTACACTTATAGCTCCTTAAGGTATCCGATCCACAATTCGCCTCTTTCAAATCGGCCGACTTCGGAACATGTCGTACAAGATCGGAAAACTAAACATACCATATATTTTTTTTAAATTTAAAAAAAAAATACATTATTTATTTTATTCTTATTAAAGGTTAAAACGAGTGAATATGAATATAAAATAATCCACGCTTTAAATCTAAAAATAACGCGTACGGGAATTCTCGAGACTGTCAACTTCCGTCATGGCGCCAGTGAAAAGAAGACGGAACAAACTCGGGCGGTTCAAAAGTCAGCCGGGAATAAAGCCAAAAGTCAGTGAAAACAAAAACAAAACTGTGATCGAAGAACATAATTATACATCAGAACATATTTGTACAAGTTTTAACGGGTGTGATGTATGCTGTCCAGGGCTAAGTAAGTTGGATGCAGCGAAGAAAATCAACACGCACGGTCTGAAACTAAAAGGAAGACGTATTGTGGAATTTAACATAATCATTGAAGGTCTTGCGAACTGTAAAAAATGTTTTTGTGGTCCTTTCTTTCTTTCCCCCCCAAACAGTAAAAGCAGAAATGAAAGTGGGACTTTCCGGGTATTTATATGTGCAATGTACCTACTGCGGAAATGTAAACAGAATACCCTATCGTAAAAAACAGAAGAAAGTAAAAGGCAAAAGAGGAATGCCCAGCTTCTGCGTACATACCAAACTCGGTGCAGGTAATTGTTGTTTATAAAATTAAACAAAATAAGGCAAGTTTCTTGTGATTTTTTTATACACATGTAAATAAATAAAACTTCCATGTAGATAGATTGATTTCTAAAAATTTATGAATTTGTTTTTGATAGCAATGATTGATTCAGTTGGTGGTCCACAGAGGATGAACAATTTTCTTGCAACACTCAATCTGCCAACAATTAATAATAAAAACCTCAAAGTTATGGAGCGCAGAGCTGGTGAGATGATTGAGAAATTTGCAGATGAAAATATGAAGAATGAAAGTCAGGAAGCATTCAGAGAGGAAATGAGGTATGTATACCTGTATGTAATATTATTTCGTAACTCGTATGAAAGCATACATTGAATTTTGTATTCCTTTTATTAAATGTTTTTGTTGACTTTTTAGACATGTTAGAATTTATAATGTTCGGTAAATTTCAGAGAAGTTGCAGCACAGGAGATGGGTTCAAATGCAGATTCTTATGATAAAGAACTTGGTGTAGCAATAATTGAAGATGAATTTGAAGGGTAAATATTTGAAGTTTGAGCCTATTATATTTGATTAAAAAAAATAAATAAAGTTTCCTAAGAATCAATTAATTTTTAAAATCAACATCTTGTGTTATTTGTAGAGATCCATCACTCATTGAAAAATGCAATTTGGGAGCATTTGATTTACTTGCGGAGAGGTAAATAAATCAATATTTGTGTACTATTTTAGCTGATAGTCGCATACATCAAGAACCTATATGATATGTCAGTTGTCACCCTGCTTTCAGTAATAGCTCATCCCCTCAACTTCCTGCCAAACCCATGCCAGTAGTGAAAAAAGTTGGTGTTGACAGAACTGCATCCACCAAAACAAAAAAGAAAATTATATTCCCTTCAAAGACTCGATCAGGAATGACAGTAGCAGCTGATCATGCTTGGCAAAAGAGAGGTTATGACAGCTTAACAGGTATTTTGTTGAAACTGTTCCAGCATTTTCACAATTAATTATAATGCTAATTTAGATATGGGCTGTTACAAAATCATGTATTTATTTGTAACAGGACATACTTACCTGATAAGTAAAAGCAACAAAGTATTAAAGACAGTTATAAAGCATCGATCATGTGCAACATGCAAATGGTGGAAAAGAAATAGGCCAGGTCAGAGAATAAGGTCTCACAGATGTGTTTGGAACCACCGAGGCAGTGCTAAGATGATGGAGAGTGAGGCTTGACTGCTTGCACTGAAAGAAATGACCAGTCAAGGTACACCAGTTGAGATTATTGAAGGTGATGGGGATAACACTCTAATCGCCCGTCTAAAGAGTCAGTGTGGTCTGTCAGTTGTGAAAAGACTTGACAAAAATCATTGTGTAAAAAATATAATAAAAACTTTTTATGAACTTCGCAATTCGAAAGTGGTCAAAATTTCCAATCAGGTCATACAGCATTTGGCAAAGTGCATCAAATACATATTTGCGAAGAATCAAGGTGATGAAGAGGGAATGCGAGAAAATTTGGTAGCATTAGTTCCGCATCAATTTGGTGACCACAGCAAATGTCATGGGAGGTTTTGTGGGTATAAACGTAATCCTAATGAAACCTGTATTCATAGAAGTTTGCAGGATCCATTGTTACGTCATAGCCTTGATGAAATTTTTGCTCCAATCATTGCCAAAAGTGCTTCATATGTAGAATTAGGGTCAAGTCAGGCATGTGAACATGCCAATAGAGAGACATGTCTTAGAGTTCCGAAGCATCTCCATTATGGTGAAAATGAGAGTTTAGATTTTAGAGTGAAAGCAACAGCAGCATATATTAATGAGGGTAGAAAGTACTTGTCAGAGGTATATTGTTCATGGTTCAGTTCTTTCTATTCTGTTGTTTATCGATGTTTCATTTTCTGGTGATACAAGTTGGAATTTTGACAGGTAATTATGGTGTTATTTTTTTCCTGTTGGGATTATTTGAAATTTTGAAATTTGTTAATTTTCTTAATTTTCTTTGTTCTGCTGTTCTGTGTTTACTTGTTCAGACACAATAGATTTGGTATTATTGAAGCACTAATATAAATTCTATTTATTACAGCAACATGTTTACAATTACTGGGTATTTCCGGTAGGATTTTATTTATGTGATAAATTTTCGATACAACATTTTGATGAAGTTACAACATATTTTCTGCATTTTTATCAAAATAACAATAAAAAGACTCAAAGATAGGAAACTCAGAATATGTAGGGAAATAAAAGATCATGTCTCATGAGAGATTTAATTTAATCTAAGAAAATTTACTACAATAATATTGTGAACTCAAGTATTTTATTTTCTAATAAATACAGACATTTGTCAACAATGACCTATCTCCTGGACACTTCTGTGATGCTTATGCAGAGAAGATGGATGCTGACAGGATCAAGAGGATGGAGCGGGCCAAATTACCAGAGAGAAAGAGAAGAAGTCTGATGTTGAAGGAAGAGAGATCAACCTCAAAGGGAGGAAATGAAGCACTGGAAGGATTGTCCTATCAGTCTGGTTTGTCATTTTTCAGATATAGAATTTTTTTACAATTATTATAGTATGTACAAGTTTGTGTATTGTTATGAACTTGTTTTTGTTCTAGAAATAGGACTTTCTGTAAATGATGAAGATATAGAAAGTATCCCTGAGCCTGTACCAAAACCCAGCTTTTGCTCTTCCACAAAGTTGAAGCACTGCCCTTCACCAAATGTTGTCATTTTAGATCTGGAAACCACTGGCCTGAGTAAATATTTTTTTTTTTAAATATTTATTTAAAAAATACTCTCTATGCAATCAAATAAGATTGGACTACTATTAAAATTTGCATCCATATTTTTTTCAGTTCAGCATGGCATCATGCCCCACATCACCCAGATTGCTGCTGTAAATAGGAATACAAAGGAGCAGTTTTCTAGATATGTGGCTCCAGACCTGCCCATTACACCAATGGCGGAAAAGGTCACCAACAAAACCTGGAGTGGTGGAGTTCTGTGTTACCGTGGTGAGCCAGTTGATTTTGTGAGAATAAAGTCGGCACTGGAGGATTTCTTGGAGTGGTTAGAGAAATTCCCCAGCATAGTAATGGTGGCACACAACGGCCGAACATTCGATTTTCGAGTATTATGCAGGGCATTTTATAGATGTGGTTTACAAGAGAGATTTTGCTCGAAAGTTGCAGCATTTTGTGACTCACTTACTCTTTTCAGACAAAAGTACCCTAAACTTGATAAGTATAAGCAAGAGTTTCTGGCACAACATTTTTGTGGTCATGCTTACAATGCCCATAATGCTCTTGATGATGTTGCCATGCTAGATGAAATTATTGAAGCTGGACTTGTCTCTGTTTCAGACTTTAAAAAACATTCGTACGATACAGAATGCCAATTTATTCAAGAAGAATTTAATTTCTGTAAATCAAAAAACGTTGCTTCGCTTCGCCCTCTTATTGGTGAAAAAATAATGAAATCATGCACGGTAGAAAATATTGCTGGATCTGGACTGAATCTGGGACACTTGAGACTGATATTCAAGAGAAGTGGTGAAGATGGACTGGTTAATGTGTTTTCCATGAAAAATAGCTTAGGGAAACCAAGAGTCATATCAGACAAAAAAGTGTTAGGAGAATGTATTCCAAAACTATGTGCATATTTTAGCAAATGATATGTTATTATGTGTAAAATTGTATAATCAATGTCAAATGTCCATTCAAGCAATACAAACTGGGAACAGAGCAAACATTTATATATTTATATTTATATGATTTATTAGCTTGAAATTTGAGTGAAATACATTTAGTGTTACAAAAATGTCAGGTTCAAACTGTAGAAAAGTTGTTCCCTTTACTTTCTCGTAAAGTTGTGTATGAGTTATCTCCCTTTTTGAGCTGTTGCCCCTGATGACCTATTTATTTTTAACTAATGTTGCAGCCCTATAGATTAAACACAAAAGAAAATATTGCTTCCAGTTATATAAGAGAAATATAAATTATTCAATTTGACCAAAAATGTTATTTTTTTTTACATTACATATTGTGGCTTTTTTGCATAATTTTACTTGCAGAAATTGTAAATGTTGAAAAATATTTTTTGCATTTCATGTATTTATATATAAATGATAAAATACAACAGGCATCAATAGGGACCTTCAACAAGGTATAAGGTATTGCTGTTGCACTTCCTCTGAAATTTTAAATGAGTGCATTTCTGAGGAGTTAGATAACTTGTGTTATTATTATACTATAGGTTAAAAATTTATTTCCGAAACAAGTGTCTGTGGTTATATCTGGTGGTTAATCTGTAAGTGTGATGGCATGTTGCCTGTAAGTTTTATTTGAAGTTGTGTGCACTTGATTTGTTGTTGTTTGTTACGTAAGCACAAAAGCCTGCTTTTCTGAAATCAGTGGTAAGTTTTTGTATCTAAAGGCCCTATCTGGACACCATTCTCATAAGATGTATTGATTGTCATGTCGCGCAATTAATTAATTTGCTTGCTCTGTTTCCCTTGAGTGCTTTCATGCAGTTTAAAATACATGCATTTGCATAATAAGTTTTACGTGGTGAGAATAGAGCAAACGGGATAAGTGGGCGAGTTCTCTTTCTCAGAGAATAACATACCTTCCCAGTTTTTTTGGCAGTCATGATCTTTGGGGTCATTTCCATTTCTCACTCCTCCATGGCACCTGATCCCACCTCTGATGTTTCGGAGGTCCGTGTTTGTTCTGCTCTTATTTTGTATATTTGTTTAATGGAAGTTGAGATTGAATACTGTTCGTTATTTCCATATCCTTCTTGTAGCACTCTCACAAATTTTACAACATTTTGTTCTAATTTCAGTCAATGACTTTGCCTGTCTAAGATCCAATCATGGAGCAATGACCTAAAAAATATGTTACAAATAACAAGTCATCCAGATTAAGTTATCAAAGGAATAAATCTGTTATAATCATATATCATGATAGTGTTTGTTATGAAGTATATTTATTATAAAATATATAGATATTTATAAAACAATATTGGAAGGTTACTTTGTTACACACTCAACTCCTTTTAAAAGAAACAAGTTGTGTTAGTGAAACATTTTGTGCCCAGCGGTTCCAAAAAACTATTTTTAGCATATAGGTCACAAGTCAAGTCAAGGTCGCAAGGTTAATGACCTTGATGTTATTTGATTGATTGTATATTGTTTAACATCCTTCTTGAGAATTTTTCAGTCATATGGAGACGTGAAGGGCTTCAAATTTAGACCTATACTCGGCACTCAGAGCCATTGAGCAGTGAGGGTTCTTTATTGTGCCAACGCCTACCATGACACGGGACCTACGTTGTTAAGGTCATATCCGAAAGACCCGTGACTTTGACTTCTAGTGCCGAGCGCTTGGCGAAGGAACAGTCACTACCTTTGTTTACGTCTTAGGTATGACGCGGCGCCGCGATCGAGAATCGAACCCGGGCCTCCCGATCACGAAGCGAACGCTCTACCACTAGGCTACCGTGACCGGTTGATGTTATTTGAAAGAGCTTATTTAGTGAGGTATGCAAACAAAATATGAAATCTCTATCTCCTTTAGTCCAGAAGTTATAGCAAAAGTTCGAAAAAGCTTATTGCCCACGGTCAAGGTCACATGTCATTGACCTACATGTAGGTGTCATTTGAAAGAGCGTACTCACATGTAGTGGAGTATGCAAAACAAATATGAAGTTTCTATCTTTCAAGGTTCAAAAGTTATGGTGAAGGTTAAAGTTGACAACAGACACAGACGTACAGGACAAAAACTGTGTACATCCACGATCTATCAATCTGTCTATAACAAAGTGCACAACATACCAGACAGGATGTCAAAGGATCGCCCATTGCCTCGTTTCTGCCAACATGCATCGACACTGACCTTTGCCTCATCTGTACCTTCACACCTTAAAAATCATAAGGAGGCTATCAGAAACATGAAGCTTGTTGTTTTTTCCCGACTTGATTGAGATTTATCCCTTAAAATCTACACTTTGTAAATGTGAAAATTATAGGATTTACTTCTTGTCCGTAAAATGCTAAAGATGCATATATTTGAGTCTCAGAACAGAAATACAGCAAAGTCCTGGAGACCTATGAATATATCCATTATTGGTTATGTCAGTATAACAAACTTGTATGACTGTATAAAGCAAATTGACAATTAATTTACACATTTTCCTTCAAAAATTTTTTACTGAATATATAAGGAAAGCGATTGTTACAAAAAAATTCCTTAAATAATTATGATCTCATAATGAATTGAATTTTATACACTTGCCAAAATTGAAAAATAAATGTAGTTCAGTAAATAAACATTTGTCAAAATTCGTTTATATAAAAGATGTGAATTTTTTTTTTAAACTATACAGGATTCAAATGATTTCGCTATATCTTTAAATTTGTTACATTAGAGTTAAACATAATAGTTTTATTTTTAAAATGTGAAGAATTTTTGCAGGGGACCCAAAAAAACTTCTTTTTATCCATGAATTCACTATAAACATATTCCTACTAAACGAGTTTTTTTTCTCTATGTGAACTCAATGGCTGCCTGAATTTCATCGTCAAGGCAGCGTCAGGTGCTTTCATCTCCATCACTGTTCCCGGTTCATTTTGTCTGTTGTGCAGAGTTCGGGAACTGACTGGGGGATATTCAATGAAGTTAGGAAGGTATTCACTTGAGAAGGCCCCATGCCTGTATGCACCATTCTAAAAATATATACACGTACATTAGTTCAGATGCATTTTGAAAAATAGAACAAATTTATGACTGGAAAATAATCTGGTTCATATATTCACGTTTTGTAGGGCTGTCACGGGTACCCGAAATGACCCTGAACCGCGGAACAATTCATTCAGATTGGGTACGTTTCCATTTTTCCTGAATTCGGTTCGGTTCTGATTTGTATAATAGTCATTTTTTATAACGAATGTGTGAATGAGTAATGGCATCATGATTTTTCTTTAAACGCAGCTAGGATAAGGCTGCCCGTTAAATATCAATTTCTCTGAACTACATAAATATGACGTTATAATAGAATATGACATCACGTCAATGCATACATGACGGGGAAAGTTCTTACACGGCATGTAGATTCATTAGTAGTAAAGGGGGTAGTCTGACGGTTTTGACGGCAAGGTCAGTAGGTCATCTTCAAGGTCAAGGACATAAGTCACCTCCAAGGTCAAGGATATAGGTCATGGTCAATGTCATCGATTAAGGTCATCTGGAAGGCCAAAGTCATCTTCAAGATTGAGGTCATCATCAAGGTCAAGGATGAGGTCATCTGGAAGGTCAAAGTCATCATCAAGGTCAAGGATTGAGATCATCTGGAAGGTTAAAGTCATCGTCAATGAGGTCATATTCAAGGTCAACGATTGAGGGCAGTTGAAGGTCAAAGTCATCGAAGTTCAACGACCTTGATGTGAATGTCCCTGATGTCAATGACTGGGTCATCTTGAATGTGGTGACCTTCCGGCATTTCCCAATGATGTATAAAAACCTTGTACATTTCCACTCTTTCATTACAGACTACATAGATCTATATAAACTATGGGTAACAGCAGTTATTCCAGAAAAACCTTCTAACACGGAAAAAAAGGTACGGGTGATTCTTTTTTTACTTTCTGTGTCCTCATTTTATTCAAAATTTGGTAGCAAAACAGAAGTTATTCATTGTTAGGATTTATTTTAAAAAAACAATTTTATGGTGTGTTTTCCATGTCTTTTAAAACAAAGAAAAAACTAACTCTTTTTTATTCTTTGTTTATATGTATATACTTTTAAACATTCCTGATTTCTTCGCTTGTTTACTACCGTACTTTTTGGATCACTATCGTTTACACTTTGGTGTAAAACGAAAATAAAAAAAAGGAAATGTTATTCAGTGTAAGAATTTATTTTACAAACAATTTTATTATGTGTTGTGTTATACTTTTGAAAAATAGAAAAAACTTATTCACTGTTTTTCAACACAAAGGTACACATTTCTTCAAATAAATATTCATGATATTTACTTTCTCTTAACACAAAGAAGAAATGAGTGAGGTAATTCACAATTATTTCACTTTGCTGGATATCCTTAGAGATTCTCCGCTTCAGGGCTTTCAAGACTTTAAATTCTTTCATGTAGCGGTAAGGTTTGGATCCGTGGATCTCTTCTCCAACGAATCAAACTTATATTTACACAAATACACATATATTATACATTTATATAATACACACTATTTTTTTAACACAAAGAAGAAGAAAATTGTTACACATTTCTTCATATAAGTATGCATGATATTTACTTCCTCTTAACATAAGGAAGAAAACTTGACACGCTTCTTAGTCGGTTCGCTGCCGTACTTGTCAGTTAGGTAATTCACAATTATTTCACTCTGCTGAATGTCTTTAGAAATTCTCCGCTGCAGAGCATTCAAGACCTTGAATTCTTTCATGGCGGTAAGGTTTGGGTCCGAGAATCTGCTCTCCAACAGATTAAAATTCCGCTGGTTGTTTCTCCTTAAGATAGAAAAAAAATACAAATCGATAATGATATTTTATAGAAAGAAAAAATATCAGAATCTTGTAAACATTGCATAATGTAAATGTTTAAACTTGATGATTTTACGTATAAAGTTAGCATGAGCTGTATAATAATATTTAGAGTATATTGAATTATTTTATTCCTGACAACGCTAGGTTAAATTAAGGTTCAAATCATTGTTTCA